CTACGCCAACAGAGCTCCTATATATATATATATATATATATATAATAAGTATACAAACAGAAACCTGGTGGCTACCAGGGATGGATTTAGGGGCAAATGGGAAATCATTTTCTAGTTAGTAGACACTTGCCATTTTTGGTAATAAGAAAGTTAACACTGAATGTGGGCAAAGTGTACACAACTTGACTGAGGCAAATGATGTCAGTAAGAAGTATACAAGAAAAAAGGACATTTTTAGTAAATGCTAGAACATATATAATTTTGCAACAATAACCAACAAACATATGTGTGGTTACATATGTATGTATGTATGTATGCATATATGTGTACAGGTACATATGTGTGTATATGTGTGTGCATATACAGTTGTATCTGTATGTGTATGTATGTATGAGCATGCATATATATTCATATATTTAATAAAGCACATAGGTAGCCCAGTTACCGATACCTCCTAGACATGACCAAATATCTTGAGTGATAGGTTTTCTGAGTTTGAAGGCTTAGGATCATAGTCTCGTGGGACAACTCAGTCAATTGGCATAATAGAGCTCCTAAAATTTATGTCCTACATCCTAGTTTGGTGAGTAGTCTGGGGTCTTGAAAGTTTACGGGTGTCCATCTAAGATACAACCATTGGTCTCTACCCATCAGGAGTCAAAGAGAAAGAAAGAAATTAACAACTCAGATAATAAAGTTGTCTACAGGACTAACAAACTATACAATCCATGGGCTCACCTACCCTGAGACCAAAAGAATTACATGATGCCTGGCTACCAGTACCAGCCATTCTGATCAAAGCCACACAGATGAATTCTTTTAGAATGGGAGACAAATGTGGAACAGAACTCAAATTCTTAAGTCCGGACTTATTGAACAAATTGAAACCAGAGGACTTCCAAGGCTATTGCCTGAGATACCCTTTAAATTTTGAATGAAAACTATCCCCTGAGGTCACTTTTTAACTAAATAACAGATTATCTTATAAAATAATGAATGTTACCTATAAGCACTGTGTCCTTTAAAACTCAACCTTACGCTAAAGCAAAGATGAGAAGGTAAGGGGGCAGGAAACTAGATTACGACATGGAACAGCCTGAACGGAAATAATAAGAATGCTGATACTTTGTGAAAAGAATAAACAATGTCACTGACCAATGTGTGTGTTGTTGTTGTTGTTGT